GACAGAAGGCTGTTATAATTGTACGTCATCTTACCTGAGCATTCAAATGCACAAAATATTTTCATAATAACATAAGCCGAGTGGAATGAAGAAAGTGATCGGCAAGATTGATATTCAAAATGGTAAGCTAGCGCTGCTTTGTTTACGGTTGTATATCTGCAGTCGTAGTTTCGGTTTCCCCTTTTGAATGGCAAATATAGACTATTAATATCTTCTGATATTAGCAGGCGGAGAACGCATGTGCTAGTTGACGGTCGCCAGTAGTCCTTTTGGTTTGTTCTTTTTGGCCGAGACGCAGCCGATGCGAGGCGACAACACAGTGAGCTTTCGTCTCCGCTAGTTCTTTGACGTTGACTTGGTGTGTCCCGGGCTTTAAGTTCAAGTCAAGTCATCATTTTATTCTGTTTACTCTGTCACCATTGTTGAATATAACTGCACTTGAGTTCACTTCAACTCGACTTGCCTTCAGTGAACTACACGTTACAATTATAGTTATTAAAACTAAAACCTTAAATTATTTTTGGAACTTGAAATAAACTGTAACTGAAATAATATATATAAAAACGTTCAGTTGGCTAGTTGCCAAGGCAACATTTTAAGTTAACTTATATCAAAATAACTCAAACTACACCTGAAATAAAATGAATTAAACCCGTAAAAAAAAAAAAAAAAGACAAAATCAATTAATAAAATTTAAAATTAAATAAACTAAATTTAAAATTAAGCAGAAAAATTATTGTAAAATAACTGGTGTGAGGTTAATATGAGGTGTTTCAAGACAAACTATCTGGTCTTTTAAAGCCTCATAAGAATTTACTCTGCTGACTTGTGTCAAGGTCTTCCAGTACACTGCTGGAATGATCAATATATCATAGTGGAATTATTATCTTTTATAAAAAATATATCTTGTTCCTCTTTCTGTTATTATCTTTGGATCTCCATCTCACTTCCACTGCCTCTCTGGCTTGGCCACTGTTTCTCTGTGTCTGATCTCATAGAGATGGGTCCCCTGTTGTCCTTGAGCATCCTTAAACAGCACATTTATCATAGAACCCATCTCGGTGAGCTCTCCTTACAGCCCCATGAACCAGCAGTCACTCCATCACCACAGATTCTCTCACGCTGCGCAAGATCACTTTCAATCAGTATGTTGGATTTTTTGGTAACACAATAAAGTCTCATTTGTTAGTTACTGTATTATCTAACATGAACTAACAATAAGCATTATATTTTTGCAGCATTTATTCGTCTTAGTTAATGCATATACAATTGTTTATTGTTCATGTTAGTTCACATAGTCCATTAATTTAATGTTAACAGATAGGCAAGGCAGGTTTGTTTAAATAGCACATTTCATACACAATGGTAATTCAAAGTGCTTTACATAGAAGAAATTAAAATAATCAAAAGAAATAAGAATTATTAAAAACAGTTTAGAATAAAAAATAAAAATAAAAAAACAGTAAAAACAGTCGGACGAACAGTGCCACAGTGCTCATTCAGTAAATCCACAGCTAAACAGATGTGTTTTGAGTCTGGATTTGAATGTGACTACTGTGGGAGCACATCTGATCTCCTCTGGAAGCTTTGGAAGATACAACTTTTCATTTTAAAATGTATTAGTAAATGTTGAAATTAACAGTTAAACAGCTATAAATGCAGCCTTGGGGCGAGACTTTCAAAAGTATTAAAAATCTTACCAACCCCAAAACTTTACATGGTAGTGCATCTGTCACGTCTGATCTGTGTTTGTGTTTTGCTTCAGTTGGACTTTGAGTTAGTCTTGCACTGTTCTCAGTTCAGTTTCCAGTGTTTTATTTGTTCATGCTCTTCTGTTTCCACAGTTTATGATTTGCCCTATTATAATGTGTTCCACCTGTGTCTTGTTAATTATTTTGTTTAGTCCCATGCTGCGTCCCAATTCACCTACTTATACTACGCCCTAAAAGTATGTACTGTTTTTGTGAAGAAAAACATACTTTTGAGTGTGTAGCAAAAGAGTACACAAGCTCTGGGACATACTATCACATCATAAAATTGCATCTTTAACGGTTGCTCTCTGTCGCATCCTGACACTGTGAACGGGCCTGTCAATCATCTTGTCACAGTTAAAATCCTCCACATTTCATTTCCTACCGTATCGGTGAGAAATGCAGTTGATCAACAGTCGCAGGCCTTTCATGCGGAGCACTCTTCTCATATTAATGCATAATGATGCATTTAAAAGTAAATGGCCAAACGGATCTTTATAAAAGTCCACATTGTTATTGCAGATGAAATATAACATGGATAACATTAAATAAATATTTTTTATCAGGTTAAACTTTGATTAGTCACTCAAACCTTTATGTAAACCTCTCACCTTTCTGGTCGCACATATCCGCCATGTTTTGTAGTTTTTTAACACTTTTAACTCGTAGTTCTGAACTGAATCCTCCTCCATTGCGCAATGGGTTGTGGGCAATATTAGCCGTTATAGTGAGCAGGGATCCACACTTCGAAAATATATTAGAAATAGTAGACCATCCTGGAACTTTTTGACATACTCTTTTCATCATACTATGCTTTGGGACACACTTATTTTAATCTCACATACTATTTAGGATGGATAGTATGGACATTGGGACCCAGGGCCAGTGTGTCCCAGACTCCCAGTATATTTATAGCCCTGTTTTTGGTTCAGTCTTTGTCTGATCTCGTCGCTACGCTGTGGTTGTTCTGGTGTTTTTGTTTCCTGTTACCCTGATAGTGTTATTTTGAGTTTGTATATTTAAAGAGACTGCTTGCAAAAAGATCCAGCACTTTTATTTTTGTCTTTGTTTCAAACCCAGCGTGACAGTATCTTGAATAAAATAAAAAAAATCTTACATTTTTATTGTTCTGTGCATAAACCTTATTAAATTTTGTTCGATTTATGCTTAAAACAACTTCTTTAAAAATCTTCTTAATATTTTATTTTTGGTAATGTATCACTTTAGGGATGTTTAGATATTTTTACTGGAAAGGAAGACCGTTTAGACGACAACATTTTCAACTAAAAACACAAAACATTTTGATGTGTTTTGGTCGTTCATTTACACGACAAGAGCGTTTTGGGGGCCTGAAAACGCAAACTTTTAAAAAACGGGATTCAAAGTACAAGTATTTTAAAACAAAACCATTATTGTCTCCGTGTAAACTACAAAAACGCGAATTTGTGAAAATGGTGACGTCATGCGAATGCGTATTACGTGTTCAGTCTATAGGCGCTTAGTGTTTCTTTACAAAGTGAGATCGCCAACTACTGGCCTGACAGCAGAATACAAAGTTTTTAGTTGTTTTCGCAGATCCGTCTGAACGGGGATCGTTTTGACAACGTTGTTGTCTGTACACTTTTCTGTTTTTAGTGCATCGTTGTTGAGTAAACGTACCCGACACAAATGATATTTTTCACTGCCAAAAGTAACCATTATAACTAAAAGTAGAGTCAAAGGAGGAGATAAAGGGGGGGGGGATTCAGGATAAGTACATAATGCCTATTATTGAGTATTCATGAGCGTTCATCTAGTGGTGGAGAGGAGCTTGTCATGTTCCCTGTGGAGAGCTCTCTCTCTCTCTCTCTCTCTCTCTCTCTCTCTCTACACAAAGAAAGGATTCAAAAATTGAGAAACGATCTATGATGTGCAGTGGGGCATTGAATTGACGGCTTTGTCATTTTCAAATGTGCTTCTTTGACTGGTGCGTCACTATTGAGATTTTTTTTTAAAAGTTAAAAGCAAACACAAAACGAGCATCAGTACGTTTGTTTGAAGTAGATTATTCAAAGTCATTGTCAGGGATACAAAAGGGAAATGTTGGAATAAAGAATGGTTTCAGCATTTATTAAAAACCATAACATGGAAAGAAAGATTTGGGACAAAGATTCTATTTTTAGCAAAGAGAAACTCGTTAACTGGTATGATGATATGTTTTATTGTATGAATTGTCATGAAAAAGTCACCTGCACAAAACAATACATAATTTGAGTTTTAAGTTCATGCAAGACATTAAAGGAATGTTATGATTCAGCACAAGTACCTCAGATGATGTCAGAAATAATGACAAAAACAAAACAGTAAATAATTTAGACTTGTCCCTCAGTTTGTAAAATATACTTACAATTGAGTGCCTTTGTATGAGTATAACAGTAGTGTGTTAGAAACTGAATGTGATTGATAACTAATCTTGTCTGTGCAAAATTATATTCAGTATTTCAATTTCTGTTTTGACCATGTTGCTTTTAATAAAAAGTGCCCAAGCAGTAAACCCTGTAACTTTCATATGATATATGCAAGGACACCAGAAAAAGTCTGTTCACAAAGAGAAAAATACACCCACAAATTACATCAATGCAAAACCAGAAGTTCATCCACGTAGAAAAGAAGTTCCACCACTTAAAGGATGATCAAGGCATCTTTAGAGTTTAATATAAGCACTGGAATGTCCCATAAAAATTTTCAAAGTACATTCCTGTTCATTTTTACAAACAGAGACATGAGTCAAAGTTCTCTTGCAATCAGTAGCAGGCCATATATAGAGCTTAACTTGTTTTGAACCCAGAAAATTCCTTGAATCAATTGTCTGGCTATGTGCGAGTTCTTTCATCCTCGTCGTTGTGAAGGTGTGTTTGAGGTTTATGAGCTCTCAAAAGTGAGGATAAACAATACGAGTCACAGAGAACATATGCTTTTTATGTTGCTCTTTAAATAAATGCTTTTTATGTTTAATTGCTCACAAACATCCTCGCTACAAAAAAAGAACGAGTATTGATTTTGTTGAAATCCATTAAAGACACTTTCCTTACTTAAACCATAAAGAGCAGCCACCGTGTGGCGGATTGAATTGGCATCCTGGTAATGGGCCATTGTTTTCCCTTCAAGCTCTCTGCACTTACGCTCCTTATGATGTCATGAATCACCACAGAAGTTGTTTCTTTCACTGGCCTGGATGGAAAGTTGATTGGTGGTGTTTTTATATCCCAGCAGCACCTGGAGCCCTGGAAGCTCTATGCCACCGTGGGGGTCCTGCTGGTTATCGACATCCTGTCCCTTATGATTTGGCAGATTGTGGACCCCTTGCACATCACAGTGGAGGTAAGGCAGCCCTCCGTCCTATCAGGGACTGTGTTTTTACAAACATGACACAGTTGGATTTAATGTGTTTTGCCACAAGGTGCATATGAACAAAATCTTGAATTAACCGTTTCTCTTTCTTTCTGAGCAGAAGTTCACTAAAGAAGCACCTAAAGGAGACGTGGATCAGTTGATTGAGCCTCTTCTGCAGCACTGCAGTTCAGAGAAGATGAATACATGGCTTGGTAAGAATCGTTCTGGGTTTGACTCTGAATCTTTTCACACTACACCCAAAAATCTGATTTGATTTTTTTTTTGTAAAATGCAAACGTTACATTTTATCAGTTAATATATTCCCTGACTTTACAGTGCAGTATTTAAATGCAAAAATTGATTCACAGACCACCCGTAATCCAGTTTAAACCAGCACTCTCTGTGCTGACTTAGGACTGCAGCAGGCATATTTAAATGAAGTCATTGTTGTGGAAAGAAGGCGGCAAACAGAATTTTCTTCAAAAGAGATGTTTGTGTACATTTTCTAGTGATAATACTGGCAGATATTCATCAAATGATGTTTAAGTGATGTTATAACTAGCATACAGTATCTCCAGATGTGCAGTGTAGTCAAGGACACTTTGTGCCAATTGAAGTGTCTTGATCACACTGGAGGACTGATGCAGTGTATTTTCAGTAAAGTATGAAGATTCCCTTATAAAAAAAGAGAACCGTTTAATTGTACTGAATGTGCACTTGTAGTGTACTTTAAATATTTCAAGGTATATTTTAAGTAAATAAGTATATTTTAAAAACAAAAACTTTACTTTCAGATAGTAAAATATGAATGCATGGCTGTTTCTTAACACTTAAGTATACTTTGTAATAATGTCAAATTAAAAGTTTTATTTTAAACTACATATAAAATAATAATATACATATAATAAAATCTTTTTTAAAATCCTTTGTCATGCTTTAAAGTACACTTATTGTTGACTAAAGCATGTCAACGTTTTGTACTTGATTCAAATTTTAACTGTTGTGTGTTATTCACTATTAGGTAACGCTTCCTTTTACAGTACAGTACTTACGTGTACTTACAGTGTACTTACCTAGAAAGTACTGGCTAATATAAGGTAAGTACATGGGTTACAGGTAGGTTTAGGGGTAGGTTCAGGGTTAGTACCTAGTTATTACCCAGTAATTGTAATTACTATAATAAGTACATAGTATGTACATGGGTAACAGGACTGTAAAAGGAAGCGTTACCCAATATGATATACAAGTTAGTACAATGTACTAAACTGTAACATCATCATTAAAAATGTGTAATTAAAAATGTAATTCATGATATACAAGTTTTAATAGAAATGACAAAGTATATTTTAGATTTCCATAATAAGGACATTTTTTTTAATTATGCCTAAGTGTACTTATTTTTGACACTGTTCCTCCGCTCAGAACCGACCCATAAGATGGGGAATTACAGCGTGCAAACTGTGGTCAGCATTATTTTTAGGCCATGTTTGCATCATTTCCTGATTTGCATAATTCCTATAATGAATCGGATATTAAAACGCAGACAGTGCATGCAAATAAAGGACGTTAACAGTGGCCACAATGTCTCTTCTCTTGTTCATCATGACATCTCATCATGGTGTCGGGCTCAAAAAAATAGTCACTGTCTGAAATAAAGCCCATGAGCCTGTGTCTGTGTGAAAGTGATTTAATGAAGGAACCCCGATGGTTTTGACCTTCAGCCTCTCTCCTCAGGTGTTTCCTTCTTGTAAGTGTTTAAGTAATTAAACAAATTAATTGCTACCTTTATGAGACAAATTGGAGCGGCCTTGCTCTTTTAGTTACGGTCATTAAAATGAGCCTTCAGTGTGTTCTTCAGACAGAGTCCTTGAGAAATGAGCACAGCTGCCCGTAAACAGGCCTGTCATACAAATACTTGTATGATACAAATCTGCCATTACAGTTTCTCCAAGTAAACCATTAGTAGGTTGACTTCATGGGGCATTTGGTTCAAAGATGCATGGAAGGCAGCTTCCTTTCACAACATCTGGATGAGAAAAATAACTGATTTGCACAGAACCAAACAAAAACAAACAAGGCAAAGTTCTCATTAAGATCAAAGTTGTAAATAAAACAAAGATTATTGGAGTACTATTTACAAGAAAACACAATTTCAATTTTCCTTCTTTAAATTTTCATTTTAATTCAATGTTACTTGCCGTTTCTTTGTAATCAATTGTGAAATTTACTAGCAATTTTGGGAGTGAAAATTGCTTAAAAGTAAATCCTACACCATTTTTTTTTTCTCATTGTATAGTGTGTTGTGACTGTGAGGGATGAATGGCTAGATCCAGGCAAAAGTCATGAGAGCAGGCAGCACCTGTGACTGACTGATTACCCTGTCAGTGTGATAATGTCCACCTATCATGTTTGCATCGGCCTGAATGCATCAAACTGGTGGAAAAGGATGGACTAATTACTTAGTAAACAGCTCTCACACACTCTAGATAGCACCATTTTTGCTCACATCCAAATCCAAATGGATTTGAAATGATAATCTGAGAGTGAGCCGTTTTTTTAGCAAGCACTCAATTAAATTGAATCTGCACCCCCTGTCTGCGACCTTCATTACATCGCCAGTGTTTACCGAGGATTTAATGGTCAGAGAAGAAGGTGACTATAAATAATACACAAGCAACTGCCAGTAGTAACAAATAAAAGATAACTGATACAGTATATGCTTGGCATTGTTGTAGATATTGTTTTTAAAGCACTTTATAAATGTTTAAAAATCTTTTTTAAGAGAGCTTTTGGCTTGATTTAATAAATAGTATGATCATTTACAATACATTTCAAAAGTTTGGTGTTAGTAAGACTGTGAAAGATGTTCACTAAGGCTGCATTTTGATCACACATATTTTGAAATATTATTAAAATTTTAAATAACTGTTTTCTATTTGAATGTATTTTAAAATGTTATTTATTCCTGTGATAGCAAAGCTGAATTTTCAGCATCATTACTCCAGTCTTCAGTAGCACATTATCCTTCAGAAATCATTCTATTATGCTGATTTGCTGCTCAAGAACCATTTATTATCAATGTTACTGTCACTTTTGACCAGTGAGGTGTCCTTGCTGAATAAAAGTGTTAATTTCTTTTTTCTTTGTTTTAATCTTACTGACTCCAATTTTTTTTTTACTGCATAATGACATTTTTTATCTTGACATACAACTCATCATTAGAAATGTCCATTTTGACCTCAGTTTATTAGACCTATTTTTATAACGCAATGCTAATCGACATAGCCTATCACAGAATACTATAAAATAATATTTTCTCTCATTCTATGAAAAGAAGCCACATCAGGTCACAGAAAGAAGTTGTTTCAAAAACTCGACAGATCAAAAACAAGGTATTGATCTCATAAATTGACGTTTTTACGCTATGCTAAGCTGACATGCTAGTGAGTCCTTAATGTGCTACTGTTTTTATACTAACAAACGCAACTGTCAGGGGCATCTGATTGACATAAACTGTACGCTCTTATTACTGTACAGTGCAGTGGTTATTTCAGCTAACAGTTTGCTTTGTACATTCAGTTTCACAGCATTTATATAAAGAGGGCAAAATCTCATACATTTTAGACACTTACGTTATGCGCTTGCTCCGTCTATCTATGCAATAAATGCACGTTTTTGAATGAGCGGGGCTATACTATGGGGTCAGAATTGTTGCATTATTCCAAATAAATAGATTTAGATTCACAAACAAGTGTAAAGAGATTCACAAAAATTTATCAAATTCACAAATAAATTGATTAAGATCCACAAATAAATGTAAAGAGTTTCACAAAAAATTCACAAATAAAAAAAATTATATTTACAAATGTGTTTTGACACAAACACAACTCTGCCTGGCATTTATTTGTGAAGCGCTTTCTGTGCATTTGTAAATCACTGCACGCATTTGTGAATCTCTTCTTGTGCATTTGTAAATCCCCTCACGCATCTGGGGATTTTGAAACACTTCTAGCGTCGACGTGCAGACAAATCCACAAATAAGTGGACTCCACCCACCGTTTCCTCAAGCCAATCAGATAACGGCCACATTGAGCTGACCAATCGTAGCTCGTTCTCGCTACAACCAATCACGTTAGGCTTTACAAATAGGGTGGTCTTGCCCTGAAATAACTTTGCTCATTCATCTGCATTGGCTCAAATAGGAAGTGTAAGGCTAAGGCCCATAATATTGCTTCAGTAAAATATGTTTAAAATTTGGAATTCGTTATTTAGACCATTCGACTCTGTATCAAGCCAAGACATTTTTTATGAGCTTTTGAAAATGCCAGAGAAACATCTCTGTTATGGGAACAACCGTTATGGAAGCGTCATGTTATTCATGATAAAACAGAAAAGCATCAATAAGTTGGTGACTAATTAATAACTGGATTCAATCTCGTGATGAATACACGAGTTTGAGTAATATAGGTGATTTTACTGTGTCACAACAGCTTTTCCCACTTCTTCAGTCAAGTTTTAAATACGCAGCAGGTCCGTGGATCTAATGATCTAATGATCCATAGAGCATGAAATATGTATCATGCATTTAAAAGTGAAATGCCCAGCAGACAAGCGATTTGTATTTATTTATCAGTTAAAACACTTGATCACACAATTAATATTTCATATGAATCAGACTTAATAATATTTTATTGTAAAAGTTACTAGCTAAAAGTTACTATTTTTTCAGCATTACATTATCCACTCAAACTCCAGTTCATGCTGTTACATCTTCAATTATGGTCATTTGGGCTGATATTTGGTATTCTACATAATATTTATGTCCTATAGCTAGCTATTTGTCACCACGATTGTGCTTTAAAAGACAAAATCATCCGTTTTGTCATTTCTTATATCGTGTCTGTCTACCCCGTGCAAGGCTGTCTACGTGTAGTAGCCCCTACTTCAGAAGAAGAACGGGCATCCGTTTACTATCAATGAATCATCGTGTCGCGCTGCGCCACGTCAACGTCCAGTGTAGGCTATACATTATCACGAATTATGCATGTAGCCAGCACTAGTCAATTAGGAAGATTATAGACACGTCATATATCTGCAGATAAGAAAACAGATGTCATGGGCAAAATGTATTAACATTGCAAATATTTTAGTTCTCTTACGAGAGGTTCTCTCGTATTGCGTAAGCTAGCTTACGCTACGGGAAAGATTCATC